GGGGGGGGGGGGGGGAGGTGTTTGTTTTAACAGGGGTGGCTTCAAACAGATACAACATTACAGTGCCTCTGTTGAATATGCAAGTTTATTGTTTTAAAATTGATTTATTATTGTAATATGGAAGAGGCAACCTCCTTAATCACAAGAAGGGTCTCTGGGATCTCCAAGTTTGGGAAACATTGGTGCAAACAAATCAATATGAGACTATTAAAGAGAGTGAAGACACTCTTCACAATCCCTTCATAGAGGATCTCTCATAACTGAGAACATATTGGCTCAAAACCAGACTGGCAAAGGGGAGTGTAGCAAACCTGAAATTATGTTCTTGGAAAAAAGGTTAATTGCAATTGTTTTATGGCTGTAGTACATGGTGATTATGCAAAAGACTGCGCTGTCCCAAAACTGTTTATGGCAGAAGTCAAATAATAATGAAGATACTTTGCTGAGGCCAATGCCAAGTTCTTCCAAATTATATACTGCGTTAAATAGTATGCCCCACATTGTCCTATAACATCACTCATTCAGAATATATTAATATGAGTTACACAGAAAAGCAAGAAGTTAGACTCACCACTGAGATTTTAGGGCAAAGTTGTCTCATATACCATACTGTAAAGAGGAAATACTGTAGGTGTTAGCTTAAAACCTCAAGTCAAGTCATTTATTACATCTTTCTTAAAAACAAGCGGCAGATCCCTGCACTATTCATTGGTAGCATTTCTCCAGGGGAGACTCAGAAAAATTTGGCTTCCTTTTTCATGCATGCTGCTTATTTCACGTGGACAAGGGATGCTATTTGTAGGTAGCAAAGAGCACTGGAAAACGTCTCCTTAAGTCTTTAGAAGACAACCAAGTTCACATGCAAACTTTACACAAAATCTTTACTAACTTTGAAGAAGAAAATATTTAAAAAAACATACCTTTTATATTTTCCCACCCACCACATTTTCTTCATAGAGTTCCTTAAAGCCGAAATGTCAGAGTTTTGGCCCGCAGGTCTTGGATCAACACTCTGACCAATCTGTCATGTACTGCATATAGCGCCTGCACCAGCCCAGCCCCATGTACTGGCTCCAGGTCACCCCCACATACTGGCTCCAGGTCACCCCCACAGCCCATTCTTGTAGGCCAGAAGCAGTGCACAGGACCAGTGCAGTGCAGGTGCCACATGCAGCACATGCCCCACACCAGCCATGTGCACCACAGGCTGCATGTAGTACATGAGGCTGGATCTTGCCAGACTAGCCCTGTGTGGGAACCTCATGCAGCACACTCCCCATGCAAGATCTAAGCACAAGACCCAGTCCAGTGGTCCATGCAGTGCACAGGGCTGGTCTGGGGCATGCACTGCACGAACTGCCCATATTAGAATGGCCCTGCACATTGACTGCAGCGTGGGGTCAGGTCCGTGGGTTTGATCTGACCCACAAGCTGGCCCTACCTCATTCAACTCACAGGTCAGATGAATTTGAAACCCCTGCCTCAGAGTTTACATATTCTGCTAATCTTGAACATAGACAATGGTGCTTAATTTAAAAAAATTAGACAACTTATTTTCCTTGTTAGTCATAAACTTTAGTCCCTCAAACTTCAGAAAGAACTGCTCAAGTACCTCCATACTAGCAGCCTGCACATCAAAACTTTGTCAAGAATTTCCAAGTAATTCTATCACTGAGTTTCCAGTTGTTATCATTCCCCTAACACACAGGGAAGTCTGCCGGGCAGCGACAGGAAGAGAATTGAACACTAGACTATCACTGAAACACAAGACAGAAAAAAATGGTGTTTTATAAGAGGCAATGGTATTCAGCAGGGATGAGTCCTAGGGAAAAGAAGAAATTCAATGTCTCTCTACCAAAGGCTCCCTCCAGTACTTTAACTCCTCTTGACTTCTCCATCCAGGCCTATTCCTGTCAGCTCAAGTCCTCTACAAATATCCCAGCACGCTGTCCATGATATGCTACAGCTTCAAGCCCCTTCATACACAACCGCTCATCCACAAAATAAACATTATTATTTTTAATGAGACAAGTACAGGCTGAGGTGATGTTAGTGAGAAGCGGCAATGGGGAACTAGAAATTCTACTCCCTTGCTTTTTGCATTTTAGCACATATCTGTCAGGCATATGACCCATGGGCCAGATCCAGCTCAACCAACATATCTATGACAATCCCAGTCGCAAGTCGATTTGTAGCCCTATTTGTGAAGAAAATCATTCAAATGTGAAACAATGATAAGTTCAATGTTGCCTTTCTGCATCTGTAGACAGCCTGACAACAGATCAGGAAGGTGTGAAATTCCATATCCCATCCATCAATAATATTACAGTATCAACTTAACTAGTATTTTAATATGAACATTAACTTTTGCCCTGCTGGTCATTTTAGCAGATATAAAGAGGTGAGAATAGAATCCACAAAAAGGAAAGCAGGTGCAAGAGTTACTTTGGTTAAGGAAAAACAGGAAAGAATAAAGGAAATGAACAAAGGAAGAAAAAAGAGCTTAGGGAGGGAGCAAAACAAGTTGCCCTAGTAGAGAAAGGCATGTCATCCCACTGATGTTAAATGGGATAATACAGTAATTAAACAAAAGCTAAAACTGTATTTAACAAAAGGAGGCCTCCATCTCCAAGTGCTAAGGATAGAAGCAAATACAGAGTCCAAAAGTTGCATTTCAGTCTATGGAAATACCTTATTGGGTTGAATTCAAATGTTGAGTTTGATGACACTAGTTTAGAGTATCAAAGCATTTTATAAACACCAGCATTCGTAAGTTGTATCATGAACTTACAGATGGAAAACACAAGCACAAGTGATGGTAGCTGGTCCAAAGACATACAGAAAGTTGTACTGGAATTGTTTTCATTCATTACTTTCTGCTCCTGGATTTGGTCTAGAGGATATTTGTGTTAAGAGTATTTATATGATTTTTTTTTTAAAAATGTTACTAATGCTTAACGGTCATAAAAAATGCAAATGCTTTCTGAGTGCAGAACCCCTGAGCATAGGAGACCACTGCCCTCCAAACACTGGCAGAGACCCTACATGAGGTGAACAACTTCTCCAAGGAGGGGAAGCGAAGTACAAGTACTTCTTCTGTTAAGACTGAAACAAACAAACAAACAAACAAATAAATAAATGCCATCCCAGACAAACTTCATTAAGCAGACACCATGCCTGTTACATACCACCCGCCACAAAGCTATTATTAAAAACCTTGAGCTGGAGAAGGAGACATCCACATAAACAATTACACGGCTGCTCAAGAATGCTTAGATACATTTGCGCGATGCCTCCTTTCCTTTCAAATTTTCTCTGCCTTTTGGGGATAGCAGCTGGCAAACCTTCCCGATGGTTAATCGGCAGTGGTCCATTTCTACAGCATCCCAAGCTCTGGACACCTGTGTCACGCTTCCCCGGTAACATCAGGTGGGAACGCGGGAGCAGGGACCAACCTGCCACAAATGGCCTCAACACAAACGCGTCATCTCGGGGCAGCAAAATGAGAAGAGGGATACCCACATCCACGAGCTAGAGAGGGGGAGGCTATTGCCAGGCGCAGAGCTGCTGAAAAGTGGGGGAGGGTACGTTGGGACCCCCAGCGATTCTCCACCGGGGAGGGGGGGAGAGGGCACGTGCCCATACACGTGAGACAGGGCCT